CGAACCCGCCACCTTAGGTGTATGTGGCTGGCGCCTTAGCCGGTTGAGCTATAGGCGCCAAGCCGATTTATTTTATTTTTGAGACAGAGTCTCACTATGTTGCCCTTGGTAGAGTGCCATGGCATCACAGCTCACAGCAACCTCCAAGTCTTGGGCTAAAGCAATTCTCTTGCCTCAGCCTCCCAAGTAGCTGGGACTACAGGCCCCTGCCACAACGTCCAACTATTTTTGGGTGCATTTGTTGTTGTTTAGCAGGCCCACACCAGGCTCGAACCCACTAGCCTCTGTGTATGTGGCTAGTGGCCTACCCACTGCGCTACAGGCATTGAGCCAAGTATAGGTATTTTAATATGTTGATTCTTCCCAGACAGGAGCATAGTATGTTCCTCCATTTGTTAATGTCTTCTGCTATTTCTTTTCTTTGGGTTTCATAATTCTCTTTGTAAAGATTCTTCACCTCCTTTGTTAGATATATTCCCAAGTATTTCATTTTCTCTGAAGATACTGTGAAGGGAATTGTGTCTTTGATTTGATTCTCAGCTTGACTGTTGGCATATATGAAGGCTACTGATTTATGGACATTGACTTTTTACCCTGAGACATTACTACAATCCTTGACCATTTCCAGGAGTCTCATGGTTGAGTCTCTAGGGTTTCTGAGTGTAATATCATCAGCAAAGGGTAAAAGTTTGACTTTCTCTGTCCCCACATGAATACCCTTACTATCCTTTCTTTCCTGATTGCATTGGCCAGAACTTCTAGCACTATGTTGAATAGTAGTGACGATAGTGGACATCCTTGTCTGGTTCCAGGTCTAAGTGGAAAAGCTTTCAGTTTTACTCCATTCAGTATGATATTGGCTGTGGGTTTGTCATAGATGGCTTCAATCAGTTTAAGAAATGTCTCATCTATGCCTATTTTTTTTTAAGTGTTCTTACTAGAAAAAGATGCTAAATTTTGTCAAATACTTTTTCTGCATCTATCAGGAGGATCAATTATATGGCCTTTATTTTTTTGCTTCTATTTATGTGGTAAATTATGTTTATGGATTTGCATTTGTTGAACTAGCCTTATATCCCTGAGATAAAGCCCACCTGATCATGATGTGTAACTTTTTTATCATGTAACTGTATTCTATTTTCAAGTTTTATTGGGTATTTTTACACTGATATTCATTAATGAAATCGATCTGTAGTTTTTTTGTTGGGTCCTTGCCTGGTTTGGGTATCAGCATGATATTTACTTCATAGAACATGTTGGGGAAGGTTCCTTCCTTCTCAGTGTTTTGGAATAGGTTCCTCAGTATAGGTACAAGCTCATCTTCGAAGGTTGGGAAGAATTTTGGTGTAAAACCATCTAGGCCAGGCAGACCGCTCTGGGCCGCTGCCATCATGCCAGCCCCTCAGGTCTCAACAAGCCTGGGTGACACTCCAGAATGGAAGACAAGCCAATTTCGGAACAGATTGGATCCAGCTTTATTCAGCATTATTACCAGTTATTTGATAACGATAGAACCCAACTAGGCGCAACTTACATTGATGCGTCATGCCTTACATGGGAAGCGCAGCAATTCCAGAGAAAGCTGCCATTATGGAGAAGTTGTCTAGCCTTCCTTTCCAGAAAATCCAGCACAGCATCATGGCACAAGAACACCAGCTTACGCCAGATAGTTGCATCATCAGCATGGTTGTTGGCCAGGTTAAGGCTGATGAAGATCCCATCATGGGGTTCCACCAGATGTTTCTATCAAAGAACATGCTTGGGTTTGCACCAATGACGTATTCAGGCTTGCCCTGCACAACTTCAGCGATCTCCTAGCCAGGCACTCATGCTGTTTCCTCCTCCCTCCTCTTCCTAACACTATTCACACTCCTGCAGATGCTCCAAATATCATACACAGTGGGCAAAAAAAAAAAAAAAACTGAAATCTTACTTTTCTGTCTCGAGTTAATCTTGCCAAAGTTTTATCGATTTTATTTATCTTTTCAAACAACCAAATTGTTATTTCATTAACCTGAATGGTTCTTTTGTTTTCTTTTTTTTTTTGAGACAAAGCCTCAAGCTATCCCCCTGGGTAGAGTGCTGTGACATCATAGCTCACAGCAACGTCCAACTCCTGGGCTCAAGCAAGTCTCCTGCCTCAGCCTCCCAAGTAACTGGGACCATAGGCTCCCGCCACAACACCCAGCTATTTTTTGGTTGCAGCCATCATTGTTGTTTTTGGCGGACCCTGGCTGGATTCGAACCCACCACCTTAGGTGTATATGGCTGCTGCCTTAGCCACTTGAGCCACAGGCGCCAAACCGATTCTTTTGTTTTCAATTTCATTTAATTCTGATCTAATTTTGGTTATTTCTTTTCTTCTGCTAGTTTTGAACTTGGATTGCTCTTCCTTTTCCAGTTTCTTGAGATGATTTATTAGGTTGTTGATTTGCTTCTTTCTGTTTTTTGGATATGGGCACTTTTGTTTTTTTTCAGTAGAGTGCTGTGGCATCACAGCTCACAGCAACCTCCAACTCCTGGACTTAGGCCATTCTCTTGC